ACACACCCATGTAAGTATTAAGGCCACAGATAACTCCTGAATATGCCCAAAAATCAGAAGCAGATGACCATATCAGCATATGTCCAGTAAGTAGACCTAAACTCCATAATGGAAGATGAGCAGGCTTTGGAAATGCCTGAGAAGGAATTCAGCAAAATGACTGTAAAATGTATCAAAACACTATACAATGGAGAAAAATAAGGAAGAAGTCAGTAAAGCGCTACAAGAACAATCAAGTTAAGAGGTCCAAATGATTAATAATAGAATATCAGAAATGGGCAATACACTGAAAGGGCAAAGGAGTATAAAAGAAGAATTAGAAGCCAGAATTAGTGAGCTAGAAGATAAATCTCTCAACACTACTAAGATAGAAGAGCAAACACAAAAAAGGATAAAAAAATCTGAAGAAAGCCTAAGATTCATGTTGGACAACTTAAGAATTAACGGCATTCACTGGAATAATCACACAAGTCCACAAAGGAGACAGTTGAAGAGCTTCTGGAAGAAAATTTCCCTAACATCCTGAAGAACAAAAAGATAAACATTCAAGATGCTCAACAAACCCCAGCAAGGAGAGACCCAAAAAGACAACCACCAAGACATACAATAATCCAACTCTCCAAAATCAAAGATAAGGGCAGGATCTTGAAAGCAGCTGGAGAAAAGAGAAGTGTAGCATACAAAGGCAAGCAAATCAGATTAAGCTCCCATCTCTCAACAGTTTCAGTTCATGCAGGCAAGAAGGCAATGGGGAGACATATATAAAACTCTGAAAGAAAAAAACTGCCACCCAACAATCCTCTACCCAGCAAAGCTGTCAATCAAATATGATGGTGTAATCAAAACATTCCAGGATAAACAGAAACTAAGGGATTTTGCCAAAGCCAACCCTGCTTTGAAAAACATGCTAAAGGAAGTTCTATGGACTGAGAACCAACAAGAACAGACAACAGAGAATGACGTACGTGGCAACATCACCCTGAACTCAACTGACAAATGGAAGAGTCAAGAACAGAATAAAATAATAGAACAGAGGATCTGGAAGGTCAGTCTATGATCAAAACAATTACAATGTGAAAGAAGTAAACACAAAGGAAGAGAGATCCAGGTGATGGGAAAGTCAGGTAGATTACAGGATAAAACAGACTGTCTTAAATGGAGGGAAGAGTTAATGGAATATAAGGTAACCACAACAGAGGGGTTGGAGTGAGGGGTTCAGTTTGTGTGTGGGGGAGGGCAATGCAACAAGGGGAGGAGCTGGAAGAACAAGGCAGATAGGGGAACACTAAAACAGGTTTGCATGGCCTAAGTGGTAGAGGTAAACAGCGATGCATGCTCAAACTTGGAACAACAGGGCTCTGTGATGCAGGAATCTAGGCACAGATGGAAGAGGGGAAATAACACTGAAATGCTTAACTGTCTAATGAGTATTGATTTCCCTTGCCTACTATTATAAAATACTCTTTTTTTTAATGTTTTATTGTGAATTATGTGATAGTTTACATGGGAGAACATTAGCTTTACATTCATCCTATCATATATCATTTCACTGCCATGGTTACAATCCCCTCCATGAATCATCAAACAACCAAAGAATAAGTTAATGATGCATGCCAGCAAGCCTCCTCCCAGGTCTTCAGCACACAGCCCCTCCCTCTCTGGCTCCAACGTCCCCAGCTGCTCCATCTCTCCACGTCATCATCTCATCTCTGCTGTCACTGCTTCTCTAGGTAGGGCCGCGCTGTCCACTCTTCTCCCTTGATGGTCCCAGTGACCTTTGCTCCTAGACTGCAAAGTCAACCGCTCCCCTCCTTTTACTACAAAATGTCCACCTTTATATTTCCAACCCTCAAAATCAGTCCTGGTAACAATAGACCTATCCCCATCTCCTTTCATCAGCCCTGCCTAGACAGACTGGATACTACTTAGTGAAGATTCTACCTTCCTCCATGCCTTCTGGATCTAGGTTCCCTCTTGAAAGCTTTTAAGCCAGTCACTTCTTGCCTTTGTAGCACCCCCATTTGGGCAGCCAATGTCCAAGTTGCCCATCCCTGTCTACTCTGGGCATGGAAGGGTGGGAATGATACTCTCTGTAAAGGTTTCTTCCCTCTTTTGAGCTACTGCATCCA